GCCATTGTAAGCAATTAATGTTGGGCCAATGGTAATTTGCTCATCGGCCCTTAATCAGAACAACTTGTTGGCTTATTGCTGGACCAACGAACGGATATTATTGAGCCATTGTTGGGCCACTTATTCTTTCAATATTAGGCAAACATCATTTTTGGGCCAACGTTGGTTTGTATCTTATTGGCTCTCCATCATGACAACTCATTTGCTCTTCACTGGTTGGCCATTTGTCCTCAAAATTGACAAACAAATACATATATTAAGGTTATACTAGTTTTGTAGTACAGTTTAATTTTAAAAGCCCTTTAATACTATCTATATATGCTAGATTAATAGTTTAATACATATTCTCAATATATATCTCATAGCATTAATTAAAAAACTGAGGAAAAAGAAATCAAAATATAAAATTAAATTATAACATACTAGTATTTTATTGCTCAGTGCATGAAGAAAACATTAATAAAGAAATAAAAGTTGATGCTCACTTCAAGCGATACATGTAAGGTTACATGACTGTATACTCCCTCTCTGATGTAAATTTATGCACAAGTTCAGTAAATTGCAGGTATCAATAAGCAGGTCCAACAAATAAACAAAGCCCCCCTGTTCTTAAAATAATACTAAAATGAATCCCGTCATTTTGTTTACTTACACAAAAAAATGTTTCTGGCATCTGCGTCGTGTTTGTAACCGACAAACAGACACAGAAAAGGGTAGAACTACAGGTTTGTCACAGTATATAACAGAAAAAAGCTAGGCACTGCCACTTTCCATCTGATCCCTCTCTTCAGTCTTCTCTCTCCCGAGTCTCCTCCTCCCCCTTCTTTTCTTCTCTGTCTGTTTCTTCCTCCCCCATCCCTGTCCTTGGCATACCTTAGCTATTCTTTGATTGTGTTCTGAATGTCTTTTTAGAATCTCCAGTAGCACTAAAATTGTAGTATTTGGTACTTAATACATTTGTTACTTTTCTCAGTAAAGAGTTAACATACGATTAAATTTACAAGTATATCACTATATGTTTAAGCTGTCAATTAAGGAATAACAGTCTTCTTTGTTTCATGGTGTGATTAAGTGATTAGCTTGCATGATGAAGGCATTTATGCATAACATTTCTACGCTTGATCATCATCATCATCATCATCACAACGATTTTGATTCAATGTTGCCCCATATAAAATACATGTATAGAAAAGTCGTTACACTGAACAAATTTTAATTGAAAGAACCCAATTTATGTTTAGTACTGAATAAATTTAGTTTTAACTTCAACAAGTTCAACATTTTCAAAATGTTTGATCATGTGCTCGACGTTAAGTGTATATAAGTAAATTAAGTGGTAGACTTCGGAAATGTATTTTACTAGTCACACATTTCAATCTAAATAAGGGGCAAATTATTTATTGTTTTAACTGTATCAAAACACATTTGTTATTTTATACTTTATTTTTCTTGTATAAAAACAAAACATTTAATCACTGATAATTTATTTTGTTTTGATAAATTATAAGAATTTTAACAAGCCTTGTAAATTCATTTTAGCTAGCTTGTACTTTCAAGTAGGATTGGTTGTAGATTTATTTTTGATTGTAGAGACGATCAGATTTGTTAATATACAGATTTGTGACAATTAAATGTTTATACACATTGGCCCAATGTTGGTCCAAAATATCGGGCCAACATTGGACCAAGGAGCAAAATGACACTGGGCCAGCGTCATTTGCCAACATCGGCCCAATGTTCCTATTGACGTTGGTCAAACAATGTCGCATTCATTGGGCCAATGTTGGCGCAACGTTGGGCCAATATCTGTAGAAATAACACTCTACACTGGGCCAACGTTGGCCCAACATATCGGGCCAACATTGGGCCGATGAGCAAACTTAAATTGGGTCAATGTAATTTGCCAACATTGGCCCGATGTAACCGATTGCATTGGCCCAACGTTGGCCCAATGTTAGCATGCCATCTGGGGAACAGTGTTGACCCAACAGCACCTGGCCTCTGCACTTCCCTGTGTCTGCTTTGCGCAGATTTGTACATGATATCGTTTAAAAACTAAACGTTAATTCAGCTGTGCCGAGGCAAACATATTATAAATACTTACAAAGTGGATGCAGATATTCAAGGTATCAGTCTCATTACGCTCGCTCGTGTCAGATTAAAAATGGCGCGGATATTACGGTTGTTGTCTACCCATGATGCTCAGTCAGATTCATGGTATATTGGGCCAACGTTGGGCCGATGCCAATCCCCAAACAAATATTTTCTCTAATGATAATAATTTTATGATATAATGCGAACAGTTAGCCCAACATTAGCGCACCATTATACATAACCAGCTATCGATATTCCATGTTGGGCCATTGTTGGCCCAATAAAGGTAACCCAACATAGATAATACAACCATAATGTAAGATTGGACCAACGATGTTCTGCTATCTGGTTTAATTTATTACAAATAAATATAAGCATAAACACAATTCAAAAAATAGAATAAAACACTCTTTGGTGCTGTGATCACTTAAGTGCAAAGTTAAAATGTTGAAAATATCATATCTAAACAAGAACAGTCATCCAATGATAAGCATGGACATAGAAAGTCCTCTTAATTATTTCAGAATGTGCCAACGTTGTCCCAACGTAAAGCTCAGCAGCTAATTATAAAATTGACACCATCAATTAATTGGCAGTATAATAACTGGGCCTACGTTGGCCCTATATAAATATCCCATTTTTTAAACACCTAAACAAAATAACACTTGTGTGTATTACAAATATTGTGCCAACGTTGAGCCAACATAATACTATCAACTTGATAAGACATTTTCTTTAAGGGTGTATTAGAAACATCGGGCCAACGTTGGGCCAACATACTACTTGAACTTGATAAGGCACTTTCTTAAAGGGTGTATTACAAACAATGGGCCAACGTTGGGCCAACATATTACTACTAACTTGATAAGACACATTCTTTAAGGGTGTATTACAAACATCGGGCCAACGTTGGGCCAACATACTACTACCAGCTTGTAAATACACTTTTCTTTAAGGGTTTATTATAAACATTGGTCCAACGTTGGACCAACACCAGGATCCTTCCTTCCTTGGGAACTAAAGTGAGTGGAAGTTGCTTACGTTGGACCAACGTTGGGCCAATATAGGAATTCTGTCATGGTCAAGAAGGTTGATTTGGTAACATTGGTCCAAAGTTGGCCCTACGTTGTTCCCCCAACGCCAACCATACAACCTTTTACAAATGTTGGCCCAACATAGTCATGCTATCTGGGATCAACTGATGATTTAAACTGAAATATAAACAAGTCTTTCATTGTGAATTTAAGATTTTATCTAAAAAGAGGAACAAATTAAAAAAAATTGGGAAAAAAATTTGAATGTTCCCCTCTTTATTTCATTCACTAATGCATGTCAGATATGTAACTTTAACATTACCTTTTAAATTAGAATCATAATGCGAATGAAGTTCTTGTCAGACACACAAGGAAAACTTCAATAAAATCATATTGCATAGTGCTAATATAATTAAAAAGTTAGCGAAAGGCATTTTTAAGGGGCAATATCCCTCTGCTCTAAATTTCACGACTTTTTTTTTCAAACCAAATTCCAAACATTTATTTTCAGCAACAACTATAGCATTAAATTCAAATGGAAAATAGTTTGAAGTATGAAGCGTTGCTTATTTCTTTTAGAAATGAATAATATGTTATATCAGGATGTGAAGAAAATTTGATATGGTAAATAGAGTGATCAATTATTTTTTTATCTCACAATTAAATTAGAAATATGAGGTATATATAAAAATGATATTTACTCTCATACTTATCTAATTCCCATTAGAAAAGATACTGAAGCGTTGCTTTTTAAATCAGAATATCAAATTGTTTTTTGTGCATGTAAAATAATACGCATCCATAAACACGAGTTATCGTTCCATTATCGCCCTTGAAAATATATTTTAATGAAACAAAATATTAATTAAATGCTTATAAACAATTCTGCATCTGAAATTTTCTGTACAATTAAAAGACTTATACGTTAACGTTAAGAGATAGAAACTTCTCAATTTACACCGTTTAAAGGACCTACGTATAAATGTTTTAGGTAAACCATTATAAATAATTAATAAATATGCTAGCAATAGAAACTAGAAATAAACATCTGTACGATTAAACAGGTTTGAATGAATTGACTACAAAATGGTGCATATGAATGAAATTTGTTACTCTGGCATGAAAGTTCCCTGAATTTCATGACAAAATGGCTGCAGAAAATTGTCTCTCTTATCAGAGGGATATTCCACCTTAAGGAGAAGCAAGTATACTTTATGCACATATATCGTACGGAAAAGATTAGAGCTCGAAATGAGATTCTAGGATATAAATAAAACTATTTTCAATTTTTTCAAATAAATTAAAGGTCAATAGGAAAATCCATTGAATCTAACAGCTAGTTACGTAAAGTAGTAATTATTTTTTATCATATATAAGTACACATTACTATCAATAAACAACGATATCTTATGGAATGTGGACATAGTTTTCTTGTTGACCTTAAGGATCATGAACATTTTATTGCTTACTATTACCTTAATTGATTTTGATGTTCTTCATTGTATAAAACGACTCAGGGTCTCTGGAGTATGTCATTCATCTGAGTAAGTAATTGTTTTTGTAAAATTTTATTACGCTCATGATAAGGGTAAAACTAAAAAAGTTATTTCTTTCGAAGTAATGTCGTTCGATATTGCACCGATTATAGAAAAGATGGAAAAATATGTCTACGTAAGTGAAAACATCTACAAACAATATTACTGAAGAAAGGCAAAACTTAAAGCCTTTAAAAATGAAATTGGAAAGAATGAATATATGGAGATATCTTGTTATTCTGTATATATGCTGAATTAAATTTTGATAAAGTTAATTCTTAAAACAGTAACAATTTTTCGAAAATGGAAAAATACTTTAGTTTTCCCATCTCAACAGCTTGCATAGGATTTTTTGAGGTTAACTTTACTGGTGGCGTTTGTGCAGAAGGGTTCTATGGCTTTGGTTGCAGAGAAATTTGCAACTGCAGTAAAGACGAAATATGTGACCGTCGGTTTGGGTGTGAAAATAGAACTTTAAAAATAAATAGCCCTGCAGCAGGTAACGAAATACCAGTAGTGAAAAAAGATTGAACGAAAAATTAGAAACATTTTAACTAATTTTTAGCTTGAGATTTAGTTTGAATTTGTTTGAGCTCCCAACCCACAAGTTTTACATCCAGGTCCTCAGTTACAATAGTAATAATTATAATATCTTGTAGGGACCCCGAGCAGTGTTGTGATGGTTATACTGTGTGGTGTTATACTCTGTTTGGTTTTGCTTCTATTGGCAATTGGAGTAAGATGGTAGTTATAAATTGATTTTTAAATGTAATTCTAAGGATTATCGATAGCACAAAGAAGAAATACATCTTTTTATTTTGATTCTCTTTGTTTTCTGCTAGCAAGATATTACTCGATCGCCACCGTATCCATGATAGTTATCAGAGTGAAAATACCATTACCATAAATTTCTAAATCCCACAGCAATGCGGCAGAGGAAAATCAAACCTACAATGAATGCTATCCTATGAGTATGATCGGGGATGTCCCGGATAATAATTTTGCACACTCCAACAATGCTGACCAAATATCCGGGCAGTATATTGCAGTGAATACGACGGCTCCACCACGTGAAGACGTTTTTGCGTCCATCCAACAAGCTTTTCAGGAGAACAAAAAAAGGAATGAAATGTTAATTTTACTGTCTAACAGAAAATCTAAATCGCATAACACGACCCCTGGATGTAACTATCTCTCTCTCTTCTCGAGACTCACCAGGATTGTATTAATGGTGAAGAATCTTGAAAAATAAATAATTAAAAAGAACATGGGTCGGATTAAACTATCTCTCTGTTTTCTGCAGCTGATACTCTTGATAATGCATGGATTGATAAAGGAATTTGTCAGGAAAATTGAATTTGTAGAAATAGGTGATTCTAGTTCTGAAACAGATATATCTATAAAAACAAACAGGATTGTTACTAGAGCAAAAAGCAAGAATAAGTACAATTTTCCATCATAGTATGACTTACATAGGAGTAAAGGTGGTTAATATAAACAAAATTAACATGATTAAATATGGTCAACATTTCCTCATAATATTTTTATAACAGATAGTTTCCTTTGACACAGCCCGCATCTTCTATCTTATACATATCCTGGAGAGGAATATCATTCTGCCAGTTGTTTCATGAAAAAATATTACGGTGAAATATATCGAAATAAAGATCATTGTTTAAACTCAAATGTCCATTAAACGATACAATTCAGGATCATAGCAAACATGGACATCTAACACATCAGAGGTGGGATCAAGTGCCATAAAGGAGTGAGCATACCTTGCCGACCGATCACATCCACTGTGTGCTCTTTGTCATGATCGGGACACAACGGAAGAATTTGTCAACAATTCAACGTGTAAATGATGATTAAAGTAATCAACGAAAACTCATAAATCGGCACTTTGTTGGTCGTTTTTCACACTTGCGTTTCCTGTCCTTAAAACACAACATCGTATACAAACATTATAATTGAACTAGAATCCATTCAAATGAAATGGGAATTCATTGCCTTATTATTTCATAATTGGCCAAAAAAATTATTCCTAGTAGTAAATATATGACACAAGTTAAACAAAAATAATTCAAATGCCAATTGATAACGTTTGTAACATTTACGGATTTCCGCATTTATGTACATCTCTTTACCATTGATGCCTCTTAACCATATTACATTTCACTCGACATAAAATAGGGAACTAACCATAATATGATCAAAGGATAAAACGCAAAAGAGCACTGAAAAGTGTTATCAGATTTTTTTGTTGGAAATGCCATATGAAAAGCATGTAAAGAATTATGAAGATTTGGAAAACAATGTGTTTCCTATTGCATAGCAGAAAATAAAGTAACAATAAATACTTATAACCTCTTAAAAATACTTGCGTAATGGTGTTTATTACACAACATTTAATAAATATTCAAGCATTCATAAAGTAGATCTACTTACTTATATATAAGTATAGAAGAGCTTACAAAGAACTAAAAAGTCTAACTATGAATATACAACAGAAATATAAATACATGTATATCTAGTTCAGTTCTGGTAATGCGTGGGTTTTTGGATTATAAAATATTAATTGTCGTTGCATCATTACAACAATTTTCACTTGTTTAACTTACTTGTTTAACTATAGAAGTGTTTCTCTTTTATAAGTTTCTGAGCTGGATATATTTACATTATGATTCTAATGATGAAATAGTCACTGTACAAGCGTTTGTTTTTGAGGGTGATAATATCGCTGAAAACACAGGCTTAAAAATAAATGTTGACAAAACAAAAAACATGAGTATAAACAGAAAGAATAATGATGCCATAAGGTTAATCAATAAAGAAGTAGATAATGTTGAAACAATTCTCTACCTGGGTGACACAATGGACAAGACCGGAGGACTTGAGTCAGATATAGGCTAGGCTTAGCATCCTTTGCTAGAGTATGGAAGTCAGCGCAATACAACACAAAGACCAAACCAATAATAGATCTTCAACACAATGTTCTATCTGTGTTGCCGTATTGTTCCGAACTATGGAGAATAACCGAGAAAGACGACGAAAAGCTTGACACATTCCATTGTAAATGCCATAAGAGGATCTTAAAAATACACAGACCTGAAAAGATAACTAATCAACAGCTGTATGACAGAACAAGATCCATACCACTATCAAGGACCATCAAAGGGGAGGAGATAGAGATGGATAGGCTACATCATCCGAAGGGAAGCTAGCTCGAATGTAAGAACAGCTCTCACATGGGCCCCTGAGGGAGAGAGAAGAAGACTACCAAAAAACGCTTGATGACACTCTGTTGAGAGAGAAAGAGAAAACTGGGCTGGGGCAGATGGAAGGAGGGGCAGGTTGTTGCTAGTGACCGTCGTAAGTGGCGTTCTTTGCAGAATGGCATCATGCGTCCTCCGGGGCACGGAGAGGATAAGTAAGTAAGTAATCCACTCTCTGTTTGGATACTAATTGATGCATGTTCTAATTATGAGTTTTTGAAACATTTACGCCTCATCAAATTTAAGCTTAAAATTTCAGTGGTCTTAATGTGATAATTGAATTCAGGATTCAATTATTACGGACGAGAAAATGGCCGAAGATATGCAAGGATGATTAGAAATATTTGATCCCCATTTCTGTTTTTAAGCATGGAATATAACTAAGTATGATACTATTTCATCCTCAGACCGACAGGGAAATATTCCTTTTATACTCTCGTTTAGCATATTTGTCTGTCCTCTATTCTTTTCCGGACTAAGATTTAACTCGAGTTCTTTACTGGAGTAAAACTAATTAATGACCATTGTTTATGATATTTCATATCATGAGAATGCATGACAGGAAGTTTAAATGAAATAAAAAATAATAATGGGTCTAATTTGAAATCCTTTTCTAGAATACAAATTTTACTAAAGATTTTAGAAAAAAAAAAATTATACGTAACTTAAAAATATCAAAATCGACTGAAACTTAAATCTTTAATTAAGTTACAATCGGTCATTATTTTCCTAGTTATAACGCTTACATCCATGGTCAACATTTTCCCAGCTAAAAAAGTAAGGAACGTAAAATCTATGAAAGATTTTGACTTAAATCTAGCACAAAGTATCTTTTTAAATTTTTCTAGAACTTCCTTTTGCTTTGTTAATTCAGGAAACTATACACCATATACATATAACTACTAGGATTTATGACCCCCACTTTCACAATATTACTGGTGAAAGAATTTCTGGTAATTTGTTTGTCCGTCCGTCCGTCTGTCTTTCTGTCTGACTGTAACACTTTCGTTCCCTCAAGATATCTTGAGAGGTTTTTATGGTTTTGAAATGAAATTTTATATAAAACTCCAAGTGGTCTTATGCAATTCTGTATTGATTTTAAGGTCAAAGGTATAAATTCATAAATGTTGATGGGTACATTTTTGTTTTCATTTAAATTGAAATTAATTAAAATGTTAGTTTTATCCTGGTACAAAACTAAACAATTAATTCTGGCTCTAATTTCGCATTCATTTTGAATTGAAATGATATATATACAAGGTCCATGAAACTGCCTGCAATCGACTCAAAAAGGAAATATTCCGCAAAATAGCTTTGATAAATCTATTTTATGTGATAAAAAATTTTATTTTAAAAAATGAGAGATCTAGCATGTACTATTTTATTCATCATGTTGATGATGAAACTAGCTTTTCTGCAATTCTCTCCAAAAAACCCTGAATGTATAGTTAATGAGGGTTTTGATGGGTAAGTTTTTGTTGCCCTTGCAGGAAATTGTATGTAAATGCTTTCATTTGATATGGAAGATTAAAATTCATTTTAACCCATTTTAGAGGGAAAAAGAGATGCTGTGCTAATTATAGAACTATTGGATTAAAATGTTACCGTAAGTATGAATTGCTGCTTCTTTAAGTGACTTATTTTGTTCGAATAAAAATGAATTTCCTAATATATTTTTACTTTTGTAGCTTGCATAGGATCTTTTGGAATAGAATGCATGCAAAAATGTCCAGAAGGGTTTTATGGTGTTCAATGTGCAGAGGTGTGTTCTTGTACCAAATGTAACAAAACAACTGGGGATTGCTTCAACAAAACAATAAGTAAGAGTTTTTTTTGGGCTTAACTTTTAATAATAAATTATATTCAACAATTTCAATTGTTTAGAAGTACTCGTAATTTGGGGTCTATCAACATGTTAACTTAGTGTGAATGTTTTTTTATGTCATGTCGTCTAAAAAGTTGAACTATTAGACCTTTACTGAAAGGATATGAAGATAACGAACAGTATTCAAAATCAAAGTCCATAAAACAATACAAAATAGGAGCAGAGCAAACACGGACCTCTGAAACATCAGAGATGGGATCAGGTGCCATGGAGGAGTGAGCATCCCCTGCTGACCGGTAACACCCGCCGTGTGCTCCTTGTCATGATCGGGAAATAACTAAAAAATCTGTCGTCAATTCAGTGTATAAATAATGGACTAACAATTAGTATGAAAAATGTCAGTCAGCAATTGACTTAATGATAAATTGTATTTGCTGACAAGGTCTTTGTATCGACCATAGAATTTACGAAATGATGACTTTAAACAAGACTGCTGAAATTCTTGTTTCATCAACTTGTTTGTCAATAATTTATCTCATTTAAGAAATTGTTCATACGTAGAGCATGTTCTTGCGTATCAAATCAATTGAGATATATACACTCCGTATGCCGATGATGAAGGTATATTGCTGCATAAGTAGAAAAGTTAGTCATCACGTTTATCATATATTTTGGTTGTAAGATTACCAATAATGTCTTTTTCATGTAAAATATCCAAGTATGAAACAGGTGTGTCAGACTCTGTTGTGTCTTTTATCACAAGTTTTCCAGGATATATCGTATGGAAGTAGGAATGGAAATTACTAATTTTAATTGACTATCTAAATGTCGAGTTGAAGGCCACAGCAAGTGCTTTTTTTTTTTCGTTTCGCGCAAAAGATTTTGCACAAGCATAAATAACACAAACTACAGCTGTATTTTCTTCCAAAATTCAAATTAAAAAAAGTGATATTTGTTTATTTGAACAACGTAATGTTCTGCCAAGCCACATAATTTGGCAAAAAGTTCAAAAATGCTACTTTACAATTCAATATGTTTAGAAGTTTATAAAATCTATTCAGTTTTCTTGCTCAAACGTTTCTTTGGAAAATTTCAAGGGTGTATTTTAATGCTTAACACAACTAAAATTTATATATCACATTTCCATTGAAAGAAATATGAAAAAAAATACCAGTTTAACTCTTCGGTGTGGGAGATTACAAAATTTGTTGTCGTACATGTATGTATCCTTAATATCTGCCTTTAAGGGATAAAATCAAAATCTTGCTAAACTAGAACAGCTGTTTTAAAAGATATCGTTCATTTTGATGAGACTTCGGATTGTCTATGAATCCCTAACCCCCCGTTTTAACTATCATATGGAGCAGGTGGAGGGTGTGATAATTTAATATAGTACCGACAGATGTTTTAAAATATCATCAGTATATCTATGGCTAGAATTCGAAATGTTGACTCCTTTTTCACTTTACAGCTTCATCAGAAGAACCCCATAGTAACAGTGAATCCATAGTAAGATCAACAATAATTGGAGTAGGGTTACTTTTGGGAGCAGTTGTAATTATTACTCTGCTCCTTTTATACGTAATGAACAGGTAAAGTGTGTTTGTTTGTCATTGTTAAATTAATTCACACAGCTAATAGACAATATATAGGTATAGAGGCCCTTGTTTTAATGATGTTCTTTTTTGTACATTAATACACAGAAAACTCAAGATTAAAAATGGTTTGTACCAAGAAGAAAAGGAAAATTGCAACGATGAAAATTCGCCATATTATAGTTCCATTGAAGATCATGCTTATCGAGAATGAGGACATTTTACCTTTCCAAAACTAGAAATTTTAACAGTACTAGTATTGTCAATATAGCTATATAATGTAATTTCATATATCACAATGATGGTTTTTATTGTTATCATCATATTATGCTTTTAGGTGTAAAGGCTAATTTTAAAAATATTTGTTATTTATTTTCATACTATCAATTATGAATCAGATTGTTATAGCGGTTTTATAAAACATCATTCGTAGTATAGTTATTTAAAACCAACGAAAGTCTTCAAATATATCACAATATAATATATTTTTTAAAAAGAAATTTAACTTAAATTTTTTGAGTTACCTAGGCAAACACATACTTTGGAATACTTTTGTACGAATGATCTCACAATTGTTTGAATTCTAAAAATACAATAACAGATATTTACTAATGGTGATGTCGTCAAGTAGGGGGATAACAGGGGGAAGGAATTGTTACTTCCTTTTATAGAATTCATTTTAAAACTCATCTAAACTATGCTTTAGGGTGAAATTAAAAAAATTGGATTGCGTCTCGTTGTAAGCAGACCTAAATTTGTATTCCTATGAAACAGAATTTGTGCAAAATCGTATGCTTGGAAAGAAGAAAACACTTGCTTTGGCCTTCAACTCGACAAAATTTAATATATCGACGACGTATTTTCAATAGTAATTTCCATTCCTACGTCGACACGATATATCTTGGTGAGCTTGAGATAAAGAATACCTCATAATCTGACGCATCTGTTTCACATTCTGATATTTTACATGAAAAAATTTTAATGGCAACATAACAACCAAGCTCTATTATAAATGTGATGACTTTAACTTTTCTATCGTCAACTTCCCTTACTTATGCAGCGATATACCTGCATCACCAGCATGCGGAGTTTATGTATCTCCGTTGATTCGATACTCAAGAGCATGCTCTACGTATGAACAATTTTTAAAACAAGATAAATTATTGACCAACAAGTTGATGAAACAAGAATATCAACTAAATTACAGTCTCGTTTAAAGTAATCATTTCATAAAGTTTTTGGTCGATACAATGACCTTGCCAGCAATACAATTTATAATTGAATCAAATGCTGACTGACGTTTTCCATACTAATTGTTATTCCATTATTTATACACTGAATTGAAGAATGATTTTTCCTTTATTTCTCGATCATGACAAGGAGCACACGGGGTTTGTGACCGGTCGGCAAGGGATGCTCACACTTCCATGGCACCTGATCCCACCTCTGATATTTTGGAGGTCCGTGTTCGCTCTTTTCCTGTTTTGCATTGTTTTATTGATATTCGATTTTGAATACTGTTCGTTATTACCATATTTTTCATTCAGGACATTTTAAATGAAATTAGTCATCATTTGCCAAATTAAAGCTGTAACAACCCTATCAAATTATTTTTTTCTTCTTATTGATATAAATATTGGAATAAACTGCACGCTCCCATTAGAATACTTTGACTTCTTAGATATAGAAATTAAAACATGAATATTTTAAGGCTCTTAAATCTTTGTTTTAAAAAGAAAACGGGTTCGGTTTCTATGTTAATTTTTACTGGATTTTTACAATGAATAATTGTACATTAATGACCGGAAAGCGTCCATTTATGTATCTTCAAATTTCCTTCTATTGAGAAAAATGGAAAGTATTTACCTTAAAATTAATCTACATTTTAGATGAGACCCTTTTAAACCTAGATTTAGGGGGATGTACAAGCCATATTGGATCAAGTCTGGTGTAAATAACAAATTCCAAGAATGCGCTTAATAATCTACAAAACTCGCCCAGAGTTACTCAAAGTGCTAATGCACTCATTACTTACTGTTAGAGACCAAATTAGTAAATAATTAAGTTTATTTTGTTTTTATGAGGAGGAAATTAATCATGTTAGAACTGCGCAGCTACGTACAGGATTCACGAGATGAAAAATGCATTGAAATTATGATGTCAGTTCGAGTCATTGATATGGATACAACCATTTGTTTCGCTTTTTTCTTGTTATTATCCAAAATTCTTGAAAATTTGATTTTTCATATGGGGGTCTTCCTGAGGCTATGTGTTTATTTCCTCCGCCATTCCTCTGTCACACAGAGTTCAAATAACATTGATTTTAGAATAAATGCAACCATAACAACATCAAGACAAGAAATAACTAAGTAATAATCATTATGTTATATACATGTAACTTACTACTTTTATTTGTTGCATCGTATGTTCTGATTAATGAAAAATCGCGATTTTAACCCCACTCCAGCAAGTGGGGAAAAACTGTTCTGTTTATAGCTCGAGTTTCCTCTATCATGGTTGACATGTGGTTGGCATGTGCATATATCTGCTGTGGATAGATGCGTTTATTACCATGATTATATTTAATTTTTCATGGAACAAGTCTTGATAATTTGTTAGTTTCTTTAAAACTCAAGAAAAAAGATTAAAAATGTCCTAAACATATGTGTTTTAGGCGGGTCTCTTTTCTCTGGAGAGAAGTTATTCTCAAATGGGGCACTGCAAGGAGGATGCTCAGCATTTAATTTGAAAAATGTTAAACAATTTGCGGTGCATGAAAAACAAATTGTAATTACTATTACCTGTATTACATTCGAAAAGTTGGTACATATGTCTGTTTTGTTTTGCAGTTAAGTAGAAAAAATAGGCAGTTATAGGATTTCATAAGGCACCTCACATAAATAGCTAGATTGTTTGCAATGACCCACACACTGTATGGAGTAATGTTTGGACATAAAAACAAATCATGTCTCACTATGTTGACAACGTGGTAAGCTCTCACACATTGAACAAACGAAGTTTGACGAAATATATTGAGTTGCTTCTTTGAAATTTAAAAGCGAGCACAATGTTTGCAAAGAAAGACCTATTGCATATGCTATGTCTATCTTCGCAAAAAAAAAAAAAAAAAGAGTGAGAGGCAACCCCCCTCCCCCCGAAAATCTTACGTTTGTTTTTCAAAAATAGTGCCAAAGCTTCAGAAATTTTGTATTACTATGTTATGAAACATGTACTAGCCTTATATTGTTAAGACCACTTTTTATAAAAATATTTGTTTGCCCTCTCTCCCAACCTACTGCCTAGAAATGGCCCGACTCATTTTTTTTTTACATCCCATTACACGATATTTTTTCTTTTTCTCCCGTTAACAAATGTTTAAAATTTGAGGAATGTTTTTTTTTTTCACTTTTAAATATGGACCCAATAATTTTTCCCCTGAGTTGGGAGGACCACCAAACGTCATTTTAAAGATGGTCTAAAATATTAAATTATATTGATTTTTTTCTTTTCTTTAATTGTATATTGTAATTTTGACAATATGGGTAAATAAAAAAAACATTTTTTTTATTCAGTAAATCTCCTAAAACACTCTGAATGATTTCATTCCTTTTCAAATGGTGCTCCGATGTGATGAAAATTGTAGATGTTTATTTGACACAGTGTACGAGGGGTAATCAAAAAGTAAACGATAACTTAGGTATTTGATAATTATATTATTGTTGAAATATTCAAGTTTTTTTTAAAGTGTAAATTGGAGGTCGATCTTTAATACCAAATTGCTAAATTAAAACCACATCCCTTTTCAAACTTGCTTTCACCGGGCAACATAACAAGTATCATATTTAACCATCTGCCTTTCTTAAGTAAAACGATATATCCAATCATTGATTGAAAGTATAGGAAGTCATTTGTCTTAATAAACTGTGTACAAATTCTTATACGCTACTTCAAAGGTATTTCTAAGTTATACCATAAATATTACAGTCGTTTGTTGAACGAGTTCCACTGAGACAACCATTTTTCGCCACAAGTGACCTGCATAATGACGTCAGTTTTACATTGTGACATCACAAACAAGGGCCAAAACTTTATTCAGCATATGCTTTTTATAGAACTTGTATATGGCTATGTGTGTACCAAATTTGTTTCTAATCTGAATTGTGGCTTTGTAGATGTAGAGATAGTTCGCGAACTTTTTGATCATCCCTCACTAGTAAGCACTAAAGGTCATTCATATCGATTTTATGTGTCTAATTTTCTTTTTGTTTTATTGGTGATAATTAAGATTATGAAAGATAAAATAAGTTGTCTGTGGCAACTTACAAACTCTTAATTTTAGACTTTGATGGTGCTCATTTTTCCTTACCTGGAATCAAAGAGTTTAAGATTTTTTTTTATATCAATACGTACACTATTTAACAACTGTTCGATAATAATACTGAATAAATTACTTTAATCCACACTATAACACATTTCCTATTTTAAAAGTGTTCATATTATTTGAAATATTTTGCAACTGTAATTCCATTCTACTTTATAAGATTGTTATATCCCTCCATATTAAGAAGAGGTCTGGAAAACAAAATTATGTGCTAAAAATAGACCACGCGCTGCTATCGATGAACTACTTTCATGGTTCTTTACACTCATTTTGAAGACAACAGTACCTTGTTTTGAACTTGAAATTACCATTTAAAAGTGCAAAATTTAGACATTTTCTCAACAAATAGTTGTAGAGAGAACATTAATGCGCAGTTTGCATATTTTTTAAGGCTCTGTTGAATTCTGTAGCTGCGCAGTTCTAAGGAGCATATCAAAAGCATTTTTCTGCAAAAGTATAGATTATATATGCATAACATGCATTTAGTTATTCATATTTATTGTATCTTTATCATAAGGACTTAAAATTTGATCAAAATATAATGTATTTTAGGCATTTGAAGAAATGTTTACATTTTGTTCTCACTGCACTAAAGGTGACCGGACATCTCCCTTAATTGCTTCAGTAGATGTTTGGATGAAACACATTCATCGCTTATAATAGGAACCAAGTTCTAGCTTTCCATCGACAACTAGTGGTATCTCAACATGAGTGAATTCTGAATAGATTAGACAATTTCTATTGCAGTTGGAAACATGTTTATTATCAAATGAAAACTCAAAAAGACATTTTTGTTTCTTTATATGAATATTCAGAATTGTAACATATCTGGTTAAAAATACAAAACCTGCTCCAACGGATGAAGGCGTACCAGTCTTCAATTTTTCTGTCCAGCTATAAATCAAAAAGACAATCCAGTCCATATGATTATACATTTAATCCATTATTTCTCTCCATG